TGTTTGGACAAGTGCACCCTTGCTTGTTCCATCGTCAGTTGCTACGATTGCAATATGAGTTCTTGTGTGTATGAACATGTCGTTATTCGGTGGATTGCACCCGTTTTCTGACATGTACGTATGAAGAGCACCTCGAAAATACTCCTTACACGGGAGGTCGTTCAGTATCGCCGAACTCGTTCCCGTTGCTCCGGGGTTTTCATGTAATCCTATGTTCTCGTCGAAGAAAAGTCAAAGTTGCAACTTTGTTGTGCCACTTGCGGCTACTGTATTCATTCCGCATGCCGAGCACTTCATAACGGACGACCAATTCTCTGTCGCCCTCTTCCTTCATTTCCTTGCACATTCCACGTCGTCGTGAAATACGACAGACCGTCGAACGTGATTTACCATTTGAAAGGAAGGTTTACGCTTGTTCGACGACTGGTAAGGCTGCTTGCAAAACTTCTGGTGGTCGTGCTCCCATTCATCGGCCGCGAAATTGTCAGGAAGACCTGACCGTTCGATGCACGCCCTGAAATGGAGAAGGTCATGTAACTTTGGCAGTTTCCAGTTCGAGGTTTGGTAATGACCCAACACCTGTTTGAGGGTTGTTATTAAGTCTGTGATGAGATTGTCACATGCGTCAAGCGAATTTGTCGAATGATTTGTGCATCGAAACATTAAAATATGCAATTTCATTAGTTTTCTGAAACAAGTTGTTATTCGTTTCCCTACCGAACCAGAAATTATACTGTGCACTATGAATACGCACACTGTCATGACCGACCAATTCTGCTTTACTTCAAAACGCCCCTCACATGAAAAGTAGTCGCTACCTGTTGCAATAGGCAGCACAAGTTGCGAATATGTGGTATTGCTTCTCTCGTTCAGCATTTGCAACCTCGCATCCAACTCTTTCAACACAACACTTTATGCGACGTGGCTCAACTTATCGCATGCAATTGCTTTGAATGCGTCTAACATGTGCAAGAAAATGTCGTGCTCGATAGTATGCATGCGGTCTGGTTGCAAAGCCAAATGGTAGTCAAACATGGGATCGTCGTCATCAGGACCCTTGTAAAATCCCCACAGACCATTCTCTTTCACATGCGTGTGTATGTTCAAGTCCGACAATCGTGTTTTTGCTAGTCGGCGAACGTCGTCATTGTCTGTTGAATGAAATTAGGTAATAAGCTGAGCCTCCATTGTTTGTGATCTCCGACAATTGGTGAAGTCTGCGATGACGTCAAAATCTGATCTAGAGACAATGCATGTCGCACATACGCCGTATTTCACCGTTGCGATGCCACATCTCTCAGGGTAGTCTTGAATGTAACTCCAAAGGAATGAGTGCACTGTTATCTCTCCCCACCGTTCATCATTATAAACAAATCTGTCACGTGACGCTTGCTTTGCAGCTTGCAACACAACAGAAAGTGCTGAGTGCAATATGACGGCTTTGCGTTTTCTGAACGCGGAGCTTTGCAAAGCCCAGCCTTTGTCGCGTGGGCGGTGATGGAGGACAGGGAGATATGCAAGAAGTGTCGCATAATGTGCATAGTCACCTATTGACATCATTAATGGATATGCCGTTTGTTTCTGTCGTCCATCTACATATGTTTTGTGAGAATACAGACAAATAGGCACCACGTACCGTGTGTTGCCATTTTTATCTACACCCTTTTCTGCTCTGATGACTGACTGTACGTGATTCCACAAGGTACCTTACCGAGCACTGTTGATTGTTTGTTGTACTTCGGGGTGCTGCACCTCAAGGCACGACACCGTCTGCATACTTTTCATCATTGCTTTGAGCAATGACATGAACGTTGTGTACCAATCTCGGTATCGCATGATGGCATGTGCATCTGATGGGCAGTCCTCACTCATAAGATCTATCTCCTACCACCCGTTCGTCTCTGCCTGGCTGCTCGTCCATCGTAAAAAGTCACGGCTATTACGATAGACGATTTCCTGTGGCGAGAATCTTGGATCTCTCAGTACTGACAAAAGAGCGTCGATGTCGTTCAGCGACATCCCTAAGCCACCCCTGGAGGACAATATGATTGCAGCGAGCCTGCACGATGTGTCGAATGACCGCACATCAGGTGAATCTTCTTCTTCAGAACCACAATCAAGTTCCGCGTTCACTTCTTCATTGACAATGTTGTTACCCCCCCCACTGTCATCCGGTGCATCGTCCTCCCGTCCGGGGCTATCGTTCCCAGCGTGTCCGTCGTCATCATTCATTCTACGAGTCATGGACGAGGGACATGCTCTCGCTTTATGCGAGTTCAATGTCCTTAATGACATAAAAGGACGACCACATTCACACACCATCCGCTCGTCCATCGTGTGCACTGTCTTTCTTAAAAAATAAAAGATCTCATCACACCCACAACGTGAAGCGCGTTGCAGGTCAAAATAATGTGAGACTTATTACTTGCCGTCGCTCCTCCTTCCGTTTATTTTGTGCTTCACAACACACACGATAAGAAAAGACACATTCAGTATTTCATACACACAATTCCGCCACGTCCGTGATTCGTTTGTTTATTCATACACACAACTCACTGTAATAAATTTTTATTTTTATTTTATTTTAATTTTTTATTTTTTCAATGTTTTCTTCAAGTGTTCATTCTTTCTTGCGTAACATATCACCGCTGAACAAAACACCATACCAGCCACATGATGAAGAGAGAGAGAGAGAGAGAAAAAAAAAAAAAAAAAAAAAAAAACGAAATTGTCACCGTGCAACATTTCAACAAAGTTGGCAACCAATATGTCACTTATGACGGAATACGATAACGACCTGTTAATACACGACCCCGACCTCTGAACGATATCATCACGAATGTATGTGGAAGACCGGTCTGTCAATGTGATGCAATTTGAACAAAAAATACATAAAGAAAACCTCACATTTGTACAAGGTTGGGAAGTGGGTGTCACGTACGCTGTAATATACCAACAACGTCTTCATATATGGCCCCCACTTCCCAACCACATCGTCACAAGCGTGGGGACAGTGACACGGTCAAAACAATAACACAGAGAGAGAGAGAGAGAGAGAGAGAGAGAGAGAGAGAGAAAGAGAGAGAGAGATGCAATGCAATATGAACGACAAACACACAACGAACCCCGGATTTGAACATGGTTGGGAAGTGGGTGCCACTTACGATAGAATACGGCCACAACGTCTTCGTATATG